AGATGAATGCAGTGCTCACAATTCCTTGTTAGCCTCCATGACAAATATTATCCCATTCAAAATGTCACTAGTACGGAGGTGAAGAAACTTTGCTTTATAATAAGTTCTAGTAAATATTTTGGTTTAGTGATGAGAGAAGATACTTCAAATAAGTAAACAAACAGGTTAATTATTAGAGACAAATAGTAATTATCAAGTTTTGCAAGTAATATGAAAGAAAAAACAGTGCTGTGGGGAAATTCTGGATGCTGTGAGCTTCTGAACAGGAAAAGATAACTAGGCTTGTCCAGAGGCCAGCATTTTGGAAAATCTCAGACAACCGAATTAGAAACCCAAAATACCAGATACCTAAAACAAATCAGCTGCCTTTCTGAGGGGGAAAATGATTCAGGGCCTCAAGCAATTGTTCGGCTATTTGCCCTCTGAAATGTGGCATCACCTCTAACCATGCCATCAACATAAAAAAAATACAAATAAACACAAAAGTATTTGAGATTTAGTAGACTACTAATTTTTTTTAAGGTGAAGTCAAACTTCTTAAAGCATAGAGGAGCTACTTGGGCTTAAAAGGGGGTATAGTAACTTTTCAATCTCCCTTTCTTGAGAAAATTAAACCTCCTCCACTCCTTGCGATTCTGAGAGGCTGCTAATCAGGGGACGTCACATCTCCCCTATTGGAATGGCTACTTGACACAACCTGGACCAGTCAGACACTCCTGAGCTCTGAGAAGCAAGGTCAACGAAGCAGATTCATTTGATTTAGCATCCTGGAGAAGCTCCCATGTCTTCCTGTTGCCAGTGACCCTGGGATTGCTGTGACACTTTTCAGAGACCTCACTGTTCAACCGTCCTTGACTCCTAGAGGAGCCCCATCATTCTCCTGATAATTCATTTTCTCTTTCTTGACTTGGCCTGAGTTGCCATCTTTGCTCACAAATGCTTACACATCTTTCCACCTTTCTTGGAAGCTTTCACTGGCCGTTTCAGTGGTGGGTTACTCCTCAACAGATGCTCATGCCTGAAATGGCTATTGTTCATTCATCATGTTGATAGGGTTTGAATGTTGCTTATCCCTGCCCAATCCTATGTTGAGTCTTAATCCTCCAGTGTAATAATATAGTGGTGCTGGAGCTTTAAGAGAGTTGACTGGGCCTTTAAGAGGGATTGATGCTGACTCGATGGACAACTCGCACAACTAGGTTGTCATAAGTGAGACTGGCACTTCCCTTGAATCTCTGCCATTTGCCACACTCACCCCTCACACTTGCCTCCACCAGGGATGACTTCTGCCATATTTGGAATAGCATGAGGGCCTCACCAGAAGCTGATGCTGGTACCATGCTCTTGACTCTCCAGAATTGTAAGCTACATAAACAATTTCTTTATAAAATACCCAACCTCGGGTATTTTGTTATAGCAACATAAAACAGACTAAGACACATATATTGTCTGTTACCACTAGCATCTTTTCATAGACTGTAGAGAGTATGAAGCCAGGACCACACATGATATTTCTTCTTTCCTTTCACACTGACAAGTGAATACTCCACTGGGACTTGTCAGTGAACAACTATGAAAGGCAGCCTCTGAACTTGACCCCAGAGACTCTCATCTCTAGGTGTTGATGCCCTGGTATGGTCCTCTCCCACACTGAATAGGTATAATCTGTGTATCAGATATTATAAAACAAAATGTTTGCGATATCTATGGCTACATCTATAAAAGATGTTGCACCTCTGCCTCACTCTCTTTTTGATCACTTTTTGTGGGGAAAACTGAACACCACATCACAGGACACTCTGGTAACTTTATGGAGAGTGTTACTAGATGAATAATTAAATCTCTTGCCCACAGACAGTACTGATTCTAGTGTTCACCACCCTGGAATTGAATCATCTGGCCTCATCAAGCCTTCAGGTGGCAGGTGGTCTGGCCAACTCCTAGATACGACCTTATTAGCAACACTAGACCACAACCATCCAACTATGCCACTTCCAAATTCCTGACCCACAGGAGCTGTATGAGATCAACAACATTTGTTTTTGTTTGAAGTTACTATGTTTTGGAGTCATTTGTTACACAGCAATAGGTAGCTGAGGCAATAATTGATTTCATCTGGATAAACAAAAATCCCATATTTATTTGAACTGTAAAAATGAAAGACTGGGAGGGGAAATTATTTGTTTCCTTGAAGAAATAGTTTTCATAAACAAAGCTACTCTAATATATATTGACTATTTTATTTAAAGGTTGAGGGCAAACACAAAGTAATTTGCATAATGTAGCTTTGTAATTCTTTTTCTTTCCAGCTTTAGTGAAATATAATTAACAATTTAAAATTGTGTGTGCAGCTCAAAAATTTAATATTCATATATATTCTAAAATAATCTTCACAATTACAAAATTACCATGTCTTTTTTCTTTGTGTGTGTGGGAGGGGGAGAGAGAGAGCACTTACAGATCTACTCTCTCTGTAACTCTCAGGTATACAATGCAACATTGTTAATGCTACATCTCTAGAACTTATTGATGTTGCATAACTGAAACTTTGTACCCCTTGACTAACATCTCCCCATTTCCCTCTCTCCTGGTCCCAAAAATAAATCAGAAAGAATTATTACAGAAAAGTAAGTACAACTAAGAAAGAAGGAAAAAAGGATAGAGTTTACGAGTCCACAGGAGTTCCAAGGCTTCAGAACTAGAAGTAGTTACTGTGCTTTCCTTGTGCTTCTTTCCTTACATTGGCTACTAGAAGGGCTCAGACTTGTGACACACGTCTAGCAACTGTACAGAACTTAATAATCATTAGATACTAAAGTCCTCCTTGGTTTCATTTCTCTATCATTATTTCCCCTTTTCCAGATGTGTGTATGTATGTATGTGTGTATGTATGTCTTGACAGTCTCACTATATTCCTATGTTGCCCTAGCTGGCCTCAAACTCACAATTCTCCTTCTTTAGCCTCCCAAGTAGCTAGGAGTACAGGTGTGGTCCACTGTGTCCCCTTGTGGCATTTCTTGATACTACTTTGAATTCTGAAATGCAAAGGAAATAGATAAACACATTGCATGTAGAGTGAGACTCCAAATTCCAGGCGTGTTGTGTGCCTGCCACTCCCCACCACTGCTGCACAGCCTACCTCGATCATCTGCCTTCTCCACCTCTACCCCCTTGGTGTTAGAGTCTGTGAGTGTGAGACTAAGCCAGCACTGAGTTCCTTTTCGGCTCCAGATTGACAAATCTATATTCCTTCAGGGCTGAATCTCACAAGCTAAGAGACCACATATAATATCAAGCAGTCAAAAAAGCAGTTGTTTCTGTTAAGTCTCAAATTCACCAGAATGAAACAGTGAATATCAATGATGTGTATAGCACTTGACAGCAGGCAGGCTGGGTTTAAAGGGCAGCACAGGGCATTTCCCCCAGGTCTTTATATCCCACCACTATGAGGCCAGGCACCAGCACTTACGTTCCATGGATTTAGGGCAACGTGACCGAGTGGTGCATCATTAGACTGCAAGGCTCAAGACTAATTCTGTGAGCCTCTGCCTTAATGGGGTGATCATCTGTTTGGCTTTATTCTATTAATATTTGTAGAGTACTCATTACCATAGCAACTAAGTGCTTTCCACAGAGAACTGATCGAATTGCTAGGGAGAGGTGAGCAGGTGAGGCAAGGACGCCACAGGACTGAAAAGGAGGCTTCCATTCTCCTCCCATCCCTGACAAAGCCCCATTTCATCACAGTCTTTGCAAGGTTTCCCCACCAGTATCCTAATGATATCTGACTTCAGCTTCTTAGAGCACTGCTACATGCCTATTGGGTGCATCATCCTTGGTAAAAAAAATGAAATAGAAGTCAGAGGTCACCCATCCTGATTTTTGCCTTTTGGTGCATCGTTTCATCTTATAGAGAAGCAGTAGTACAGTGACTCTGAGTGGGTTTGAATTCCAGATCCTCTGCTCGTAAGATTTCTTTTGGCAGGTGCCTTTCTGCACTTCTTCTGTGAAATGAGGAGACTAAGAAAACCTACTTCCTAGAATTATTGTAAGAATCAAATGAGTTGACCAATTGTAAGTGCCTGAAAGAGTTCCTGGTACATAGTAAATGCTCAATAAGTACCAATTCTTATTTCTACGTATTCTTGTCCTATATTTCCAGTCACCAGAACACTCCTGCTTTCCTGGTCTTTTTGGTTCAGTGAATGGAAAAAAGAACCATTCCTCTAAAACAAGGTCCCTTCCAAACACCATATAAAGGAGTAAGTGAGGAAGATGATCCTTGTCTGGCAAGTCCCAAATTTTCACCACTAGAAATTCATTTGTCAGGAAGGGAGAAGGTTAGGTAATATTTTTGCAAGTATTTTCTACTAGATTTAACTTTCGTGAATGCAAGGAGCATGACTCCAGTATTTGTCCCCAAATATAGAGCCAGATTCATTCTCATATCCCACTCCTACTCAGGTGTGATGAGTAGCTTGTTAACCCTCTCTAAGAACACAGTGAACCCTCAAGTTACAACCAACCTGACATATGAACAACATGGATTAATTAGGTTACTGGAAGGTTCACCTGCCTCTTGCTATCTATAGTGTGTACCCAGGTGAACATCTAGATCTCAGTTATATTGACTTACAACCAACTTGAGTTACAACCAGGAGTCAGGAACCAATCAAGTTTGTAAGTCAAGGGTCCACTGTACATGTACATGAATCCCCAAAGAGTTAAGGTGAGCCTATGACTTCAGGCTTGGGAACAGGTGGTTTGGACTTAAAAAAAAAAAAAAGGAATTGAAACGGGCTCTTTACCTTTTTTTTTTTGAGACAGTGTCTTACTATGTAGTTGAGATTGCCCTGGAACTCACTATGTAGCCCAGGCTGGTCTCGAACTCACAGCGATTCTCCTGCCTCAGCCTCCCGAGTGCTGGGATTACAGGTGTGCGCCACCATGCCTGGCTGCTATCTACCTTCTTGAAAGCTAAATCTGGCAAGGATTGAAACATGATGGACAACATGGACCAGCAGCAAACCACCCACACTGTAGAGGAGCTGCTGGATCTCATCAGACTCAGCCTAGATGGGCAAATCTATGTGAAAATGAAGAACAACCGAGAGCTTCAAGGCAGATTACATGCTTATGATCAGCATTTAAATATGCTGCTGGGAGATGTGGAGGAAACTGTGACTAGTAAAGAAAGTGATGGAGAGATATATGAAGAGATGTACAAATCAACAAGAAGGCATATCCCGATGCTCTTTATCTGGGGAGATGGTGTAGTGCTAGTTGTCCCTCCACCAAGAGTTGGCTGAAGTGGAGAATTTGTCCTGGGTGGAAGCAGGTGCCTCTTTAACTGCGTAAGATTTTCAGAGGACAGGGCCACACACTCACCGATACTGAGAAATAGCCAGGGGATTTGTTGACCCCCAAAAAGAGTTGCTTTGCAAATGCCTTACAACATTTTGAGCTAAGTAGCATTTTTGTTTTTCTTTTAGCTTCCACTAAACGTGTTCACCAAGGTGCTGAACTCTTTCTAGGAGTTGATTTGCTCCGTCATTCTTGCAGACAGTTTCTGGTGGTTTTTTCTTTAATTAAACTCAATGGTTCCTTTTTTATTTGAAAAAAGAAAAGGAAAGAAAGCTAAAGCTAGTGGGAGAAAATACTTGGGAATGAAATGCTTTATCCAAAGAAAAGAGTTTCTAACAATTGAAGTTTAGTCACTGACTCAGGTAGAAAGCAGTGCGGTCTTTGTGGCTATAGCACACAGACGACCACCTACTCCAGCAGAGATAAGGTCAGGCCTGGCATGGGATCCAGTTGCATTCCTCTCCTGGATTGTTTCCTCCTTGGTGCGGTGTCAGCGTTGATCAGCGCTACTGACTCACTGTTGTGCAATCACCTGGAGACTATCTCAGCAAAGTCGGAAGCACCGACACCCAAACCCTGGTTAAGATTTGAGATAAGCGCCCTTGCAACTTGGAAGAGGTCACTTTAGGATAAATAAGGGAAGGCACACATTCTTTTACACTGTGGGTAGCAGTTAATGAATTGCCTCATCTGAGAACTTGTTACTGCAAGAGCCTATATAAACCAAAAATAAAACGAGGTTCAAGAAGGTTGAGATAAATGGATAAATGAAGAGCTACAAACAGCCTCCTGAGGTAAAACTGAAGAGGTTTGTAGCTCTGTAGGAGTCTACCAAAGACCTGCTGCTGCGCACCAACCCCAGCTTTGAATATATTCAAAATGAAATCTGAAGATCTCATTCTCTTCCGTCAGATACTCCTCACCCAGGGCTGGAGAGTTTTCAGATCACTACAAATTTTCTAAATCCTTATGCTTTTTATTTGCAGGATTTATGTGCCAGATCTTTTTTCCCTCCGATACTGGGGATTGAACTCAGTGCCTCACACATGCTTTGCAAGTGTTCTACCACTGTGCTATATCCCTTGGGTCTTAAATTTATAGAGTCCCTTCCTTTCTCCCTAAGAACAAGGATTTAGCTCCAGAAGAATAATTAGAAAGGCTGGTGGGAATTCTACAAAAGAGATGAGGAGCCACTTTTGCTCAAGTTTTGAAGTTTATATGTCCAGAGCTGAAATTCTCCAATTAATCAAATTCTTTTTTTAACAGAATTTTTTTTTTAATTTTCTTAGTGTGTGCTTGTACTACATAGGGATTACATTCAGCTTGGGGGATGGGTACATATGCACATCTCACATCTTAGTCATTGTACCGGGAAATCAAACCCTAAAGGCTCTTTCTCCTCTTTCATGCAGAAGCTTGAGATCCATGCTTAGAGCAGCTGTGCTTACAAGTGGAGTAGGTCTCCTGGTCAAGAAGAGGGGCTTCTCGGTTCTCTTTTGCCTCAATTCATTGATAAATGCCCACAACACCACTCAATCAACTTTGATCTGTGATTATCAAACTTGAGCTTGTACATCAGACTCACCTGGAGGGCTTGTTAAACTAGATTGTTGGCCCCACCCCCAGAGTTCCTGCTCCAGTTAGGTCCAGGGGGACCTGAATGCTTGCGCTTTTCATGCATTTCCAGATGCATTTGAGTCTGCCGCTCCAAGGTCCACATTTTGAGAACCATTGATCCAGGTCCTGGTGTCCATTCAAAAGCAAGTCTTTCCCTTAAGCCAGGTCATTCTCAAACTGCCAGTCCCTAACTCTCAAGGGTGGAGAAGATCTTCCAAAGGGGGTTAGGTGGGCTGAAGGGAGCCTGAAGGTCAGAAGGAAGACAGAGGTGTGTGCTCAGCACATTGCCGCTTTGCCGCAAGAGGGTTCTGGGCTGCTCCTGTGGCCACTGCCATCCCTTACTCATTCACCTGGCTCCTGGCCCCTGACCATCTTCTTCATTAGGCCCTCCAGCACCACAGTCAGCCACCTTGCAGGCAGGCAGCTCCACTGTCTCTCTGCCCATCTCCCTGTCAGGTAACAGCTGGTTCCATTCCTGGGGCAAATGGCCTGTCAAGGAGTGACTTACCCAGACTGTGAATTGCAAATCACCACAGTAAGGCTGAAGCTCCCTGCCCCAAGTGGCAGCTGCCCTGGGGGGAGGGGATTTCACACACACACACACACACACACACACACACACACACACACACACACACACCAGTGATGCACACCAGCAGGATACATCAAATGGCCAGTTTCTTTCACCCACACCAGGATGTTTCAAAGCTCACACTTGCACTCCAAACCCCATGCTCAGCCTTAGACCAACAGAGCAGATACTAAAAGAACCACAAAGAGAAAGTGGCCAGGAGAAGGACTCAATTTGCTACTCGAGCTGAACACCAGTTCCATGTAGTCTCATTTATCCGCACCCATCAGAGAAGAGAAAAAGTCCATGTTAGGAGAAGAATATAATGGAATTACACACATCAGGCTTGGGGTTCCCAAGATATCTGATTCTGCCAACAAGAATAAGACTGAAATGAGGAATTCTGCCTTGGTCAAATCACCCTTGGTATGTTGATCAAGTAAGAAGTTTTAAAAAAGAGAGAGAGAGAGTGCATGTACATTCATGCACAACAGAACTGACTCGCCTTGGTCTGGAAGCACTGATCACTTAGAAATCGTAAACTTGATGTAAGAGTCAGGCTGCTTGGGCTGGAAGCAGGATGAGTGTTAACCCCTTGCTCCTCCCCTTGCTCCCCACTCTGCTCCCTCCACCACTAGAGACCCGCCTCTTCTCCTCTGCTAACACCAGGGTGCTCTCACTCTCAACAGAGGCGAGCTCCTCCGGAAAATCTGCCAGCCGCCCACCCTTCCGCATGCTTTCTCCCCGTGGGAGCATATTTAAACCCTAGTACTGAAGTATTCACTGTCAGAGATTTTCTTTCTAAATAAATAATATAAAAGCATAATACTGCACGAAGCTAAATGCCAGTGTTATCCATCTTTGAGGCTACAAGTCTAGGCTATATTACTTTGTAGGCATCAGTGGCTGATAAAAACATGTGTCATCTTCCATGGGGTTGTTTTTTTCCTAAGCAGTTACATTGGTGTGAACAAACACATTAGTGCCCTCAATTTTTTTTTTTTTTGCTTTTTATTCTTTTTTTGAGTTTATCGGTACATTTAAGGTATACAGTACAATTACATTCATTATTGGGATCCTGTACCTTTACATGACAGGTCTTGGTTCTCATTTTTTCCCCTTGTCCGTGCCCTCCCTTCAAGTGCCCTCAATTTTAAAAATAAAAATAAAAGAACCCTGAAGGCAATAGTGTAAGCAAGTTGTGACTCCAAATGGACTTTAACTGAAAAACAGCATCTCTAGTTAAGACTTTTAAAAGACCTGTTCTAATGTTTTGTGTTTTTTTGTACAATCAAGTTTATTTCCCAGGTTTATAAAATTCAATTGCATTCCCGCAAAAGAAAAAGAATTCACCGGCCTCCCCTCCTTATGACAAAGCCCCAGCAGCAAGTCATTATCACTCTTGACTAATCCAAGGGAAACCACCTGCAGGAATACGCTCCTTTCTGTGGGCTCCCAGCAGAACCTTCCAAATGATGATTAATCACTGAATAAATGGCAGAATTGACAAGAGCATAATGACAAAGAAAAAGCAGACATGGGGACTGAACCTTGGGTGCCTGTGGTCCAGCCTCTGTGGGTGGAAGGGCCGAAGAAGATGGATGGCCCTGGGAGTGCCTGACACTGGAGTATCTTGTCTTTCACAAGAGAGGGGGGTCACTTCTGCCAAATCCAACAAATAAGGTAGCGTGCATCCAGTGGACATGTTTCCTATGGCTGTCAAAGCCAGGAGAAACATCTTAAAAATTAAACTAATGAGTTTTAATTGGCATCTCAAGCTCAGACGGTAACAGAAACAAGAGATACTACAAATGACAGGTTAATCCATTATTGTGGAAGGCATTCAGAAGGTTTTACTGATTATAGCTTCAGATTACCCTAACTGTGTCTCTACTAATTTGAAAAATGATGAATCACTAAGTTCAAACAGGGCTCAGAAGAGTCAATTATACTAAGCTGTGATATCAAAAACTCATATTTTCAACACTAAGGAATACAGCATGTTACGCCTAATAACAAACAGAAATGAGGCCTAATACCCACTCTCAGTTGACCAAGTCATTAGCAATAAGAATGTTTCTCTAATTTTTCAATATTTCTTTTCAGGATATATACTCCCTTCCTCCAAGGAATCCTACTAGCCAAAGTTTATTAACAAGAAAAAGATTCACAGGAAATGAAATATTAGTCTGCAGTCAGCTGAATGCCCTTCAGATACCATCAGTTTTCAGACCTTTCCAGTGCAAATGAAAAGAGCAGTTACTGGTCAGACTCATTAATTCCCAGACATCATCAATACCAACATCTTTTTCATCATTATCATATTCATCATTGCCCTCTCACCTTTATCCTTTTTTCCCTTTAAAACATTGAGAACTCTAAAGTCACGAGAGGGTTTTGTACACATCTTTCCACTGACCCCAGCCTGTGCTCCTGCCATAATCATGCTGGACATTTGTGCATTTTGCTTGTCATTATACCCTTTCACACGGATTCATGTAAACAGAAAGTATTTCACTGCATGACTATGGCACCACATGTCAAGAGCCCCCAATATCACTTGGTACTTTTTTTTCCCTGCATTATATCTTGTTCTCAATCATACCTGGAACATTCTGGGCATTATAGGTGTTCAGCAATGGCTTTACTTTCTGTGCCTTTCTCTAACTCAACCAACATGACTTCTTATACTTGAGATCTTTGAAATCCTTCCTAATGGTCGTTCTCAGATATAGGTAGGTAGCCTAAAGATGCGGG